TAAATAAATAAATAAATAAAGCCGGAAATGACGTCAGTTCGTGGTCGTCCTTTCCAGAAAAAAAATGGCAGCTGTTGACATCGACGTGCCGGTTGACGCTGAACCTCAGATCCACAATCCGGACGACCTCGAGCGGTAAACGTTAAAAACTGCCCTCCGGGTTTAACTGTGCTGCGCGTGTAACGTGAAAATAACCGACGAGGTTCCAACTGACGTCAACCGTCGTTAGCCGAGGCTCGCGTGAGCAGCCCGGAGACATGCTAACCAGGCTAGCTCGCTAGCAGTGTGGTATCACTTTGGCTAAATCTTAATTTTTTTTTTTTTTTTAATCGGTTTTCATTCATTCCAGCCATGGGTGTTGTGGTAGATTTTGATCGTTTAGGTTGAATAACTTGTTTGTTTATTTATTTATTTTTGTCTTTTTCAAATTAAATCGCTTTGCCTCCTTTTTAACGTCATTTTCGGGAAAGAGTAGTGAATTAGGGTGTCTTGACACATGCTCAGGTCATAGGTGTACCGAGAGCTAGCGTTATTGTCTGTGGAGACTCGGTGTTTAATGGACATATTCGGTATGTTAGCACGGCAAATAATTAATTAGTAGAGTCTCTTTTTTGTGGGACACTGGTCGCAGGAAGGTCTTTTGTCTTTCGAGAAAGTTCCGTACGAGGCAGACGGATATCTTCGGGTAGACTTGGGGACGTATACATTGCGCAAACTAGCAGATAAAAGGTGATTAACTTGAGAAACTTCCCCAAAAACACCTTAAACTGTCTGTTATTTAATTATATTATTTCTTGATACGACACCGAACTTAAATAGTTAAAGCAAATCCAAAAAAAAGCTAGCTTCCGGTGGTTTTGAGCTCATTTTAATCGACCTATCCGGATGAATCATCAGTGACTACACTTTTATTGATGTCCTGTCATTATGTGACCTTTGTTAAATATGTATAATTACTACACGCACAATACCTGTTAATATTAGACCTTACCCAGCTCAGAACATGCCACAATGTTAAAGAACATGTAGGTTCTCACATTAAGTGCTTTATCCAGGTGTTTGATATTTAAATAATCCAAGATACCACATTATGGTGTCAAAAATAAACTTTATTTATACCAGAGGTGCATGATATGGTAAAAATAAAAATCATATTGCGATTATTTGGACAGATACTGCGACTGTGAGCAAAATTAGTGTCATTCTTGCGATCATAATGTTAATTTTCTTCTACGTTTGAATGTTTTTAGGCCAGGGAATCACTGCAGTACTGTGTTATAATGCTGTTTCGTCACACATTTTACCTCTGCGATTTGAGTATTGCACTTGGCCATTTTGCTGTTTCAGTAATATTGCGATTAATGGTGAAGCCCTAATTTATACAGCACTTTTCAGACAAAAATGACGACGTTAATCCTCGGTTAACCAGGATTAAAACATATCAGGACTGCAGTGAGGCAAATGAAATCAACCAAATACAAATTAGGGGAGAACCCTAACAATAATATAAGATAGAAACAATAATAAAAGATGTCACTGATTTATTTTAAAAGATGTCACTGATTCTGATGAGTGCGTTGCCGCTGTATGAAAAGGGATCACCAAGCTGTAGTTATGGGCTTTAAATACAGACAGGAAAATGACTAAGATCACTTTTAACTGCTGGTGTCAGTGTCACGTTTAAGTTCCACCGAACGCTAAGATGCAAATAGTTTAGTAACATTAATGGACTCTCTCGTAAGTCTGAAATTATATTTTGGGAATCCTGAAACGGAGGGAACATGTTTATTAGACTTCTAACACACGTTTCATCTTTGGTGGTGTCTCTTCGTTGTCATTGGGTTTATTCGCTCTCGTGCAACGTTTCAACTTAAACTAAACCACTGTGTGTGGCCTACAGGCACTGCTGGACTGATAGTGCTGCTACACAGCTAAAGTTGCATGTATTTGCATATGTAGAGATAATTACGCAGTACAGATATGCCACAACGTTGTATAAAACAGAATGTTGTCTCTTATTAAATCATGATTACCTGTTTCCATACAAATAAAAAGATTAGATTAGAATATTCAGAATAACAAGGTTTCTTTTCTATTGTTTCGTTAAGATGGCAGTGTGCCACTACGTTTTGCTCAAACTTTTTGAATTATCCGCTGAGGTTGGCTTATCGCAGCTGTAATATATTTACATCATCCTTGTTTGCATGTGTATGTTTGTTTGTTTTTGTTTTGTTTTTCATCAGTTATGCTCTTGGACACCATTTTGAGTCTGTCAACAGCACATGCTGGGCCAAAGCCCATTTTTTCACCTGGGCGTGTTTTGGCCTTTGGGAATTGCAACTGGACCCTAAATCAAAGCTAACTGGGGTTTATACTCAACACCCAACTTTAGTTTGTGGTGTTAAAGTAGTTTTTTTTATTTTATTCTTTGACTGATTAAAAACAATTACCTTGATGTAACTGTCGACTGAAGAGCAACAGCTTCAACCCACAGCAGCAGCAGTAATAGTAGTAGTAGTAGTAGTTCTGTGAATCAATGCCAATTTCCCCTTTAGCGCTTGGTACGTTTGACAGAACTGCAGCAGGTGAATTTCGCTGCTATGTTTAGTACCGGAGCTATCAGGACTGTGTGTACCCTGCTCTGCTGTCCCAGTTCCAGGTGTAACACACTCGCAACTCATTTGCAAGAAATCCTCGTCTGGTCTGGTTTGATGACGGTGCCTGAAGTCTTTCACTCTCACTATATTCCCGCTAGTCTATCGCTTGTCTTTGTTTTATGTTGTATCAACTGATTTCTCTTATTTTTCCCTTTCCCTCCTTGACGTTGGCTTCTTTTTCTCCCCTTTCCAGTCAGGCTGAAGGCTTCAAAGAGCAAGGAAATGCATTCTACAGCCAGAAGGATTACTCTGAGGCTTTCAACTATTACACTAAGGCCATTGGTGAGATTACCACTGGCATATAATCATCACTGCTGCAGTTTAAGTTTGGGCAGTGTGAATGTACACAGCACCCATTGACCAATCTTAGTTCATACTCTCCTGTTGAGTAATGCTGACGACCTCTTCTTGCCGCACCTCTCCCAGCAACAAAACGAAATGAACAATAATAAATTTCTATTGCCAACTGAGTCATTGCCCCTGCGTGACGACAACACACGCTCCTTCCATCTGCATTAAAACAGTATCAGGAGTATCTTAACTTCAAAATATATTTTAAGTAAACTATATTGTGAAGCTATGGGCCCATATATTCTCAGATCTATATATATTTTTTATCCACATCTAAGTTTTCCCTTGTGACACGTTTTTCTTCCTTTTTATCTCAAGATGCGTCCCCTAGAACTGCCAGCTATTATGGCAACAGGGCAGCCACCCTCATGATGCTCCGTCGCTTTCGAGAGGCCCTAGAAGATTCCCAGCAGGCCGTGCGGCTGGATGACTGTTTCATGAAGGTCAGTTTGAACAAACATCGTCTTCATTTTCAACTTTGCTCGCCACTTTTTGTCTCAAAACTCCAGCTGCACTTGCAGAATAGTGAGCGCGTTTTTACACAGCCCTAAGCAGGAAGTGTGCCCCTCCTGTCATACAGGGTCATCTACGCGAGGGCAAGTGCCACCTGTTGTTGGGAAATGCCATGGCAGCCAGTCGCTCCTTTCAGAAGGTTTTGGAGCTGGAGCCCGCCAACAGAGAGGCCCAGCAGGAGGTGGGGATCACCAGAGCTGTTCACATTTTATTTACTGTTATTACTGTATAAGTATGCATTGAATTGATTTACAATGGAAGCACAGGCTTGGAGCCAAAGACTGAATCATGCCACTCAAACTCGTCTATTACCGTTGTAAAGAAAGTGATGATTGACGACTGCTGTTATATTTTAGAATAAGACCGCAGAGACTCTACTGGAGTTCGAACGAATGGCGGATTTTGGCTTCGAAAAGCGGGATTTCAGGAAGGTACTTTACACCCACTCTGTTTTTTTTGACTAATCTCACAAAGTAATGCCCATTCTTAGTTGATTTATCATGTAATCAGTTGTTAGTGTGGTCTAACTTGGACTTGGAAAGTACAAGCAACATCTGTGGCATCACAATATAACTTCTGTCCAAATTTAAGCACAAATATGCTGGAAAAACAATCCGATACATTTCTTTAGTAGTTGACAGACTATTTACAGAAACCTTCCATTTTGATGTTTACACTTTAAACAGCTTGTTGGAAATGCAACATTTCTTTACATTAGTGTTTGGCATTTGTCCTGATCCAGGTGGTGTTCTGTATGGACCGGGCCTTAGCTGTGGCTTCTGCCTGCCACCGCTTCAAGATCCTCAAGGCTGAGTGTCTTGCTCTGCTGGGACGCTATCCAGAAGCCCAGTCAGTAGCAAGGTAGGTACAACTGCTCGGTTCACGGTCAGGGCTCGAACCTAAGTATGTCCCTTTGTCCCGGGAACAGTAAAAATAGCACCTGGGACACAAAGATACAGTTTTTGGGACAATTCTGGGACAGTAGAGAAATGTAT